GCTTGGTACGATCCTTGGTATTTTGCCACACAGGCTTCTCTCTGACTATCTCCCGCGACCTCAGATGAGAACAAGGCCAAGATTGCGAACTCGGGGGCCATCGTCCCTCTCACCCGCATGGCCCGCTCCTCGGACATCCGTGTGCAGCGGAATGCCACTGGTGCCTTGCTCAACATGACGCATTCGGGTACGACCCTCCTTCGCCGTCCCCGCATCGAATGCCTCGTTTCTCACGTGCTTTCTTTCAGATGAAAACCGGCGTTGCCTGGTAGAAGCCGGTGCCGTTCCTGTTTTGGTTGGTTTGTTGAAAGCCCAGGACACCGATGTGCAATACTATTGCACCACTGCGATCAGCAATATCGCCGTCGACGCGGAGAGTCGCAAGCGTCTTGCTACAAGCGAACCAAAGCTTGTGCAGAGCTTGATCTCTTTGATGGACCACCGCAGTCTTAAAGTTCAGTGCCAATCTGCGTTGGCGCTGCGTAATCTTGCCAGTGATGGTATGTACTCTGCCGCCTTTGATTCGTCACCAAGTACTCACCACTGGCACGTCGCAGAGAAATATCAACTGGATCTCGTCAAAGCTGGTGGCTTGCAGCCTCTTCTCCGCCTACTCACGTCTACGTACCTGCCTCTCATCCTTGCCGCCGCTGCCTGCCTGCGTAATGTGTCTATTCACCCCTTGAACGAGTCACCCATCATCGAAGCTGGCTTCTTGCACCCGCTCATCGACCTGTTCTCGTTTGAGGAGAATGAGGAAGTACAGTGTCATGCCATCTCGACCCTTCGCAACCTCGCAGCCAGCTCCGAGAAGAATAAAAGCCAGATCATACATGCCGGCGCCGTGCAGAAGATTATGGACCTCATCCTTACGATGTCACTGAACGTCCAGGGCGAGATGACGGCTTGCGTTGCCGTGTTGGCTCTTAGCGGTATGTTTCCTCGCTTCTCAACTTTCATTTCAAAGGTCTAATATGTCGCGAACCAGATTACTTGAAACCACAACTCCTTGAGATGGGCATCTGCGAGGTCCTGATTCCATTGACCAACTCACCTAGCGTCGAAGTCCAGGGCAACAGTGCCGCCGCCATCGGTAATCTATCTTCGAAAGGTATGCTCAATTCAAGACGTCGGCCCTCAGGAACGCTTGTCATTACCCTGACTCCAACTGCCACCGTAGACGGGCGCAGTGGTTCAGATGACTATGGTCCTTTCAACGACGTCTGGGATAAGCCCGATGGTGGATTGCACGCATACTTCTATAGGTTCTTGAGCAGCACGGATACTACTTTCCAGCACATTGCCGTCTGGACTATCGTCCAACTCTTGGAATCTGGAGGTGGGTTCGATTTGGCTTATACTATTTCGAGCCACTGCGCACTAAACATGACTTGCCCACTTAGACCAGCAACTCATCACCAAAATTCGTTCCTCGCAGTTATTGTCGCCCCACATCCACCAGTTGGCCATGTCCCAGTCGAGCACGCCTTCGTCGACGGTTGGTTCCCCGCACTCCCTTTCCGAGGATGGTGATGGTGGTGCGGGCGAGATTGCTACCCTGGCCCGACAGATTCTGGCCTTCACCGAAGGTGATGCCGTTGCGCTTCCTTCTGACGCCAACTCTCCGGGAAACGCCTCCGCGTTTGAGGAGGACAAGAGCGAGGAGGAGCTCAGGAAGAGCGTGAGGGATGCCTTGGGGCCCGCGCCCCCGGCATACGACCATTAAATCATGCCCCTTGTTTTGGTTTTGGGTCTAGGGGAGACTTGGAGGTGGGAAAGGCTGAGAGGGGAGGGGAGATATCGATATCACTTCGCGTCACGCAGGCATGAATGACCACACCTATCAGGCATCTTCTCCCGATTATGTTTACTTTTTTCTCTCCCCTTCATTTGTATATGAACACTCCTTCTCAACTTCGCTGCTTTCGTCTTTCGCATCATTTCCCCTTAATCGACCACTGCCCTTGTTCCCGCTTTCCATCACTCCTGACTTCTTTTGAGATAGCACCTGTGTTGTTTTACGACGAACGCGCTGTATGCATCCCTTTTCCCCGTCGTTTTTCCTGGCCGTCGCACTGCGGGAGTCATAACAACAAAAATACGTACAGCTCTCCGTTCCACGTATACCCATAAGGACTAAGGCCTAAGGACTAGGGACGGGCTCCACGTCAGCTAGCTTGAAGGAGAATCCTCCACGCACTGTCTTCTCTGAATCGCACGCTGATAAGTACGAGAAGAACGCCGAGCTCGTCCCCTGCGATTCAGCAGAAAGCCCAGCCAGCGCTCCTTTCGATATACCGACCTATCATCGATTCACCCATGTCAGGCTCAAGCTCCAGATCTGGTAGACCGCGCCTCACGCCCATCCTGTCCACGGATGACTTTACCAAGCTCAGGCCCGTCGACTCCAGGCGCTTGAGCTCTGGGTCCTCCGTGTTTGACCTTCTTGTTGCGCAGCCTGCAGGCGACGCTGGCGCCCTTGACGGACTGAGCGGAGATGTACGCGCGCAACCCGATTCTCATGGCCAGCCTCTTGCATCAGAGCACGATGGCACCGGCCCTGCCCAGGCTAACATTGGCTCGGGGTCGGAGTCGGGATCGGAATGGGCGACGCCGTCGTCGGAAATGGGCGGGCTCGACTTGCATGACGACGGCGAGCAACCAGGCTCGTCCGCGGATGAATCCCGATCGATTGTGGTGATTTCTGGAGGAACGGGGTGCAACTCCATCTGCGCGGCGTTCGGGCAGGATGTGTGTTATGTCCTGCCTGTGTCGGATAACGGCGGGAGCTCCAGCGAGGTTGGTTCGCTTTCTATTGGCTTTTCGTTGTTTTTCTCATTCTGGAGAATTTACTTATATGCCTGTTTGCATAGATTATACGAGTTCTCGGTGAGGTTTTTGTTTCGATCGATCTTAAGCGCATATATGCCCGATGTTTTACTGACTTCTGTCATCTGTATTCAGGAGGACCGTCTATTGGTGCGTTTCCTACCCTCAACGCGTCAGGAAATTCACTCTGATTCATGAATTTGCAGGGGACATTCGATCGCTGTTAATTCGGTTAATCCCAAGTTCGTCGCACACTTCTCCTTCAGAGGCTATCCGGCGCCTCCTCTCGTACCGGTTCCCCGCGAACACTTCGGAGCGCGAGGCGCGCGACTTGTGGAGAGACGTAGTAGAGGGACGCAGTCTTTTATGGCATGGTATCCCAATCGACAGGAAAGAAACTATCAGAGGTTCGTTCTACATCAACCTGCGTAGCTTTCACTGTTAAACATCCCCCTCTATTCCCTATTCATCCCACGCATCTTAGGGTTTCTCGTTTATTTTGAGAGTGAAGTGCTGAAGCGTGCACACAAGAGCTTCTCTTTCCGGAATGGGAGCGTAGGAAACTACTTCTTAACCGGCGCCCACCTCTTCTTCCGCTCGGTGCCTTCTGCTATTTTCCTGTTCTCCTCCATCACGGGTAGTCAGGCAAGTAGACGCGTTTATCGGCTGCCTTAACGTTGCGAAGTGCTGACCCTGCGCTCACATACAGGCGCATATCCTACCCGTACTCGTCACAAATCACACCGTTACTATCGCTGCAGAGCTGGTGAGCACGGTCTCCCCGCTCATGGCAGGGCCCGGCGGTTATAGCTCATCTTATTTGTCTAGAAAAATGGTAGCACCATCGTCGGCCAGTGCGAAATATCGCACCCAACCCGCCCTATATTGCCGATTACCACTGCCTCGCCAAGAGAGGAGGAAGCAACCGACAATATGGAAGAGTTCTTGTGGTCACCACTTAGAGATGCCCCCGTACGAAATATGGACTTCACAAAGGGCATCAACGGCGAAGAAGACTATCCTACTTTGGAGTCGCCTATCAAGAGTGAGTTGATATCAAGTGACTGTGGATTAAATGTTGAACCCATCTCTAAATCCTTCGTCTCCAGAGGTATTCTACATCAATCAATACGGTCAAGTAAGATTCCATCGCGTGCGTTTCCACAGACATTCTTGGTGCTTAACCAGCATCGACAGGAAATATATCCTTCGCCAAATGCCGATTTCATCAAGAACCTCAAATGTCGGAACATCCTCGTTTACTCATGCGGTTCACTCTATACAAGGTATTTTCGGACTTGGATACACATGTTGAAGCGATCCACTTACAAGTCACGGGGCTGGTTCAGCATCATTCCGTGCTTGGCTCTTCGCGGAGTAGCAGCAGCTATCGCGCGCTCGCGGACACTGCGCTACAAAGTACTGCTACGTAAGTCTCCCGGGCGCACTCGCCCATAGAGCCGCCCTAACCTAGACTCCTCCCTCACGCTCGCCTCAAGTGAACTCGAAGAACGACCGAGAGACGAGCGGATACCGAGCGGTCGATTACATCCGGTGAGTCTGATACATAATCATTATGAATAGGGTTGAGCTGACGCCTGAGCGTATACCACCAGCGCGATCGTCGATATCCTCAATGGTCAATATCCACCTCCGGTCACGCAGAAAGAACGCGAGAGCGTAAAGACATACCCGGTCACCGCATTCGTTACGCACCTGGTATACGTCGCGGGGTCATCCGTTCCCGTCGACGAGGCTGAGATTACCGTAAGCCACTACTTTTCGAACACTACCTAGATATCTCCCTGACCTTCCCCATTCTTCCTGGGTTCTGATAAACAGGCTCTCGGAGTGAAGTGCTTGCGCGTTGAGTCTTCCTCGCTATCTTCGCCCAAGTTTGATGCGGAGAACGTGCGGCAGGCCCTTGCCACCGTCTGTGGCAACAATGCGTAGCTTAGAGTCATCGGCGGTATTAGCCGGTGCGATATTTGGACGGACCAACTCGTACTTTCTATCACTTTATGCAGGCAGGCATACCACAAGAATGTGTCTGGAATGATCGCATCGCTCATTTGATAATATTGCCAAAATTGAAAGGGACGCGCGCTTTGCAAAATTTCGACGCCAACCTTTCCAATGTTCCGAAAGCTATCAGTGACAAAAACAAGCAATGCGTTGAGAGGGAATCGAACCCCCGGCTGGTCGATACGGAATGGCAACGACCAAGGTTACCACTACCCCATCAACGCTTATGGTGAAGTAACAGGACTGCACATCATAGTAATACTCTCACAAAACTGGGGGCTACCATTGCGCAATTACACCTTATCTCGCTCGAAGTATCGATAAGAGGTAATAATACATTGCGTGGAAGAAAGAGAACTAGTACTGTACATGACCGTCCCAGCTTAAATCATAACACGACGGCGAAGCCAGCCCCATCCTGAAGATATCGGTGATACATACATTGTTCGATAACAGAAAAGAAAGCATAATAAGTCGTATCGCGTAAAAGGGGTATGATCAACATGGGGTATTGAACGGTCGATAGTGGGCAATGTACCTGCATGGCTGGGCTAAGATTTGGGTCAGCAATGATGGGGCCGTGAAGAATGGGCTGGCGAACGTACCGGAGTAGGGGGAAGGGAAGACATGATAACAACTACGCGTGTCCGGGTGCCTGCAAAAGCTCTTGCAAGCACCGCGCGACAGCGCGGACGCCTTCCCGGACGGCCTCTCTGTCCGCCTTGTCCACTTTGTCGAGATATCTCCCTTCGAACTTATCGGGATGCCAAAGAAGTAGAGCGCGTCGGAGACGCTCTCGACGCGTCTTTTGTGCAGAGTGTGTCGGAGAAAGGAGGAACGCGGCGACGTTGTGCGGCGTGATCGCAACGGGGGACTTCGGCGTCTGGAACAGCGGCCAGGGGATGTCGCGGAATGAGAGCGATTTGGAAGAGTGCGAGGTGGATTTTGTTGTGGAGCGCGCGAGAGCGTCCCAGAGGGATTCGTATGTTTCCCAAGCGCGCTCGGGCCCAACTCTGCTCGAGATCTTCTCCTTCAGCCCCCGCTTGCGCCAGAGCTGCTGCCTGTATATCCGATCCCGCTCCTCCGCTCTTTCTCTCTCCCTCCGTGCGCGCTCCTCCGATTCTCTCGCCTTCTGCTCCATCACTTCGGCAACCCGCGCGCGTTCTTCCTCGGCGCGCTTCGTTGCCTCGCGGAGCTTCGCCAATAACAGCTCCTTCTCCCGGATGGAGCCCCGCAGGGACTCGCCCTCCACACGGTGAGATTCGACCTGTTCTCGAAGACTCCGATCGCGATCGCGATTCATCGATACGGCACCAGTGGGAGACGTCCGGGATGCATCGTAAGCATTGCCTACGAAGCCTGCCTGCGAGCCGCGAGGTTCGACTCTGTCCCGCAAGCACCTCTGCCGACGCTGTTTAATTTCCGACTGCATCCACTGCATGCGCTGGACAAACATCTCTTCCTGCTCGCGCCGAAGATTGTCGAGGTCTAGAGGCCTGCGCAGGACATTGAGCATGATGGACTGATAGCGGTAGCGGCTGGCAATGGAGGCAGAGCGGGGTCCACAGCGAGGATGGTGGTGCGTGGAATGGCCATCGCGAGCCAATAAAAGAGACTAGAACAAAGCTGCGAGTTGCCGTTGTGCGCGGTGGCGCCAGCACGAAAGGATGATTGAGGAAGGTTAAAGGCGAGGTAAGTGGCCGGACAGACGAAAGACCATAGACGGACGAGCACGCGGCTTCCCACGTTCAACGTTCGCGCGAGGGTTCTCGTCGCTGGCTCCCACAACCATCTGCGGTCTGCAGGAAAACATCGACAGTGCTTACTATGATCCCAGCAACCCGGAGCAGAGTTCTGAACAGGCTGCCGTCGGCGTCGCTACTGGCCCATGTGTCTTCCAAACTGGGTAGAATGCCGTGCCAGCGTTTCCTGTCAACTGCGTGGCTCAAGGACTCTGCACGTTTAACTGCGCCCCCCACCATTTCACGCGCCATGAGCACCGTCAAGGCCGGCGTGATGCCTGATGTCGTCTCCAAACCGCTCAAGGCCGACTTGGATGTATGTGTCTCTGTGTCTTCCCTCGTCGTCGTCGTCGTCGTTCGCGACGCGTCGCCCTTATCTCTGGAAGTTGTGATACTGTTTATCGTCGAATGCCTCATCCGAGTCTCGAGAAAGGGCCGCTAAAGTGAACGTGCTGCGCCAGTCTCCTTCAAATTGCCGGGGACGTCGTAAAAATAAATACACTGATATTGACTGCTCGCTATAATCCCCGTAGCCATCCAAGCTCACGATCACGTTGACCAAGACGCCCAAGTCGCCGCCCCCTCCTGAACAATTGGGCTTTGGAGCGGTGACGTATCATGGTTCCCCGCAGAGCACGTCGCCCCCGGTTCCCCGCGCTCATGCTCTTCCCTGCCTTTGCAGGTCATGTCGGACCATATGCTCGTGTGCGAGTACAATCCGGAGTCGGGGTGGTCGGCGCCCTCTATCCAGCCGTACGCGCCGATCTCACTTGACCCGGCGTGCGCTAGTGCGTCTTTGCTAGTATCCCTGCTATAATCTGCTCGTCTCATGATGCTCGATGTGTGTGGTGCAGTCTTCCATTACACGCCATCCGTATTTGAAGGGATGAAGGTGCTTGCGCAGATCTATATTTTCTGTGAAAATCCGAGATGTTTAGGGCGTCTTATTTCTCGATAGGCCTTCGTAGGGCCAGATGGCAAGCCTCGCCTATTCAGACCAGATTTAAATATGGCGAGGATGGAAAGGAGCACAGATAGGCACGGAGTGATGCTTGCCTTGATGAGATTTCGCCTGACCATTTACACTAACACTAATTAGAGTTTCACTTCCTGTGAGCATACTTCATAATAAGAAAGTGGCATGGATATCATAATTGACTCTAACTCTAGCATTTCGACAAAGACGCACTACTTGTCCTCATCAAGAAGCTAGTCGCCGTAGACGCACATTGGATCCCTCCAATGCGAGGCTACAGCATGTACATCCGCCCCACCCTCATCGGGACCCGCGCCTGTTCGTCCACCCTCCTCGCACTCCTCACACTCCCTACTCATACCCTATTCTGAACCACCTATACTAAATATCCAATGTTTGATGTTCGGATAGCTCTGAGCGTCGCCTCATCCACCAGCGCACTGCTCTACGTCATCCTCTCCCCGTCAGGCCCGTACTTCCCCACCGGCTTCAAGCCCATCTCGCTTATCAGCATGTGGGACACGGCGCGCACATGGCCCGGCGGGACCGGCGCGTACAAGCTCGGGATTAACTACACGCCGTGCTTCAAGCCCCAGGAGGAAGCATACAGCAAAGGTTACCAGCAGATCCTCTGGCTGCTGGGTGATGAACGGTACGTATTCACAAATTCTCTTACACATATTTGATGTGTTCTGTATGTTGAAACTTGGCGCTGGGCCATACCTAGGCGGATTACCGAGGCAGGACAGATGAATTTCTTCGCAGTCGTCCAGCGCGACGACGGAGGTAAGTACTGATCCAATCCACCCTATCCTCGAGATTCTCTCGCGCCCAAGCCCGCTCACCCCACTCATTCACACTCACAGACATCGACCTCATCACGCCCCCTCTAGACGGGACGATCCTGCCAGGCGTAACGCGCTCCTCCGTCCTCTCCCTCGCCTCCTCGCACTCCCCCACCAGTCCCCTCCCGGGTCTCCCTCCCACGCAGCGCATCCACGCGCACGAACGCACCATCACCATCTCCGAGCTCCAGGCGCACCACGCCCGGGGCGCGCTCCTCGAGGCATTTGGCGTCGGCACCGCGGCGATCATATGCCCCATCGACAGGATCGGGTACGAAGGTGTAGATATGGTGATGCCCGTGAACGAGGGGCTGGGCAAGGTCGGGAAGGCGATGTGGGATGAGATCGTCGCTATACAGGAGGGGCTGAAGCCGTCGGAGTGGTCAGTCACTTGCGAGTAGAAGTGGAGGGGTACTTTCGGCTGTCAAGGCAATTATATCGCCTCGGACTTGGACGATCTTTTCTCAGTTGTAAAAAAAACTCAGATGCCAAGTACTTCAAAAGATTATCGTTCATACTACGCTATTATTACCAGCGTGAAGTGAGCACGAGCGGGGGCGCAAAAAAGGATTCCGGTACGGGGAATCGAACCCCGGGCTATCGCGTGAAAGGCGATAATGTTAGCCACTACACCATGCCGGATTGTTAAGGGGAGGCTTATCAGACTTATTCATATGCAACAACGCACTATTAGGCATTTGGCTTAACCGAAGGTTTGGATATCGATAGCGCGGGAGAAGACAGTTGCATGTGGGAGATGAAATATTAATCTTAGAAAAGAGAAGCGCGCAAAAAGGCCAACGAGCAGGTCTCGTGCAGCTAGGCCGAGCCGACGACGGACGACCGGACCAGAGTCGATCCCCGTTATCCCTCCCCTCCTCTGACCTCTGGGATTTGGGTACTTGGCGCGAAGGAGCTTTTGGGAGTGCTTCAAATCCAGCTGTGATATATCATAGTACTGAGCATTATGAAGGTCTATGTGCGTGGAGAATCTACATCATATATACTTGCGCCTATAAGAATCTAATAATGGTGCGATTCGACTCTCAATATAATCTACGGCGCCTAGACAAGCGCTCGAGGGTTACATAGCCAAGCAAATAAGAGGCACATATGCGCACACAAGGCGATTGTGTGGGGCAAAGACAACAGACCGCCCGATCACTCGAAACCTCCTCCGCCTCCCCAGTCATCGCTTCCAGCATTCCATCCACCGCGATCTCTCGATTCGCCATTTTTAACTCTGTTCTTGCCTCGGGCCATGCGGCCGCCGAGTTCCTTGTACATCTCCCGCATCTCGACTTTTGCGGCGCCTTTCTTTGGCGAGGCCGTCTCGGCGGCTTCGTTGCGCCATTGTTCCTCGCGGAGCTCACGGGGCGTTTGGATACCCGACGCCGGGAGGGAGATGAAGCGAGCAGAGGAGGGCGGGGACGGGCGGGAGGATGTCATGTATATTTGGCGCTATCAAAACGCGCGTGAGATAATAGCACCAGGAATTGGCGGAGGTGGGCTTACCCAATCCTGTTTAGATTCTCGGCGTGTCCACTTGCCAGGAGGGAGGGACGTGTCCTGAAAGTTTTCTTTGCGGTACTGTTGGAACCAAACTAGGTGGCATCGCTAATGTTAGACTCCTTGGCCTGTATCAGCGAGGACGACACACG